TCTTTCTAGATACAAATCAAATACCCATGAATAGAAAAAGTTGTTGACCTTCAGCCACTTTCTGACTGGGGTGCTCTGAGGTCTCTATCTACAGCTGAAGAAAATAATGTGKTCTTTCAGGGACCCTTATTACAGTCAATTTGATAATTTTTGTTTAATKGAAGCAGCCATAATCAACATTCTCATGGAAATAACTGATAGTTAAATATGTATAATGGAGAAATGCCACACTTTCCATGTTTARGACTGTGACCAGCCCTGGGGCTTTAAAGAAGAGTTGCCCTGTCCTCTGACATATTTTGTAAAATTACTTTATGCCCTGAACCTAAACTGTGAGTCCAAAGAAATTTCCTTGGTTGAAAACCAATTTCTGTGGCAAAATTTAGATGTGAGGATCTGAGAGATATAATGCTATTAAACCATGACAGTATCTCTTGGGTGTTTTGGGAATTACCTAAGTTCAAACTTCAGAATGTGTGTGTGTGGGTTTTTTTTTTTTCCAGCTTTTTGACCATAAAATAGGATCGGATTTTTCTTTTTTTAAAAAGAAATTACCTATTTTAAAGAGCTTTTCTTTCCCACTATCTTCTTCATTAGTTATGTGATTAATTAAAATTGCACTTCCTTTTAAAAAGAAACTGTTCAGCAAGCATGTGTTGCAGCAGTTTCTCTTTGCTTTGCACAGTATGTGTTTTTTAACAAGTAAAAATTATCTTGAGAAGGTAGAAAGGGCAGAAAAAGAACGATTTAAAGACTAGGATTATTATGGGATAGAATGTTATGGATTTTTCTATAAAAAAGACTTACGGATTTTTAAAAGAAACAGACATCTTAATTTTTATTTGTACATATTAAAAACTTTAACAGAAGTTCAGGAGGGAAAGCTAATGCATTGCTCCATCATTTGGTTACATTAATCCTTAGGCAGCTCAATGTAACCAAAACACAAGATGGTTTGAGATTAGATTTTGAAGTGTMATAAATAACCAGGATTTACCCAGTTGCTTTGAAAAACTTGTCTGAAAAGTTGTTACTTGTATAAAAGTAACCAAGTCTTGTCATAGTTCTCAYACCTAAGAAAACTCATTGCATGTAGAAATGTGAGTCAAAATGTCAAATACACATGAATAAAATAGGAATTATTTTTCAGAGGTGCTGGAGCATTATTGATGCTAACCAGTTCTAATCACCTGTGAAAATCACACAGAAGCATATACATAGCACATAGATGAATTCACCTTTATATTCCTTCTTTACAAATAGTATTACARTACTTTAAAACTGACTATAATATTATAAAATATACAGATAATATAAATACAAAATATATATAGAAATACAAAAATACACTAAAATACAAGTATTCAAATTTTATTACCTGAATCACTGAGCTTTTCAGTTGACTTCTCCCAGTCAGGGAAAGACTGCAATAAAGAAGGAGTAACAGTGCCCATGTGAGACATAAATTCACAATAACAACATCTTGTTTAAAGGATTTCTATCCTAAATAAGTGCTATCTTGCATGAATAGGGGTATTTCAGTGTGTTTGAAAACATGAACTGGGAAAAAAGGAAATTAAATACAATTTCCTTGGTCCTGGGTCTAAACATGGATTTGCTTCCTTCTTGTTGACCAACTTTACAGATGACTTTGTATTTTATATGGTTGCTCTGTATTAAATCAACCAAGCTAACTCATAATCAAACTCAAAATCTTCTGCAAAGAATTTGAACCAGACCTAAAACTCACAGTCTGAGTTGGAAGTCAGATTGGAAAGGTGTTCAGGAATTTGCAGGTTTTGTTCTCAAGGAGCTCTTGTATGGYTGGTTTATGTAAAGTGAATGAGGGATATGAGACTCTAAAAGTGTTTCTTTTATTTTCATGCTGTCTCTGAAGCAGTTAACTGGAAACTGGAGACTTGGAAGGAATGTGACACCGATTCCTGGGTCACAGCAGGTGCACAGTGAAACCACTGCTCAGAAAAGACTTGTCCAATGTGAAATCTGTAACTGGAAATGTGCTGAAGGYAGCCAGGACAATCAAGAGTAATTAGTCACTAGAAAAGTTCCCTGGAATTGAGCAGCATGTGAGATTCAGCACCTGGGTATCATCAAAGTAAATAAATGTCTGCCTAGAGGACAGAGGCAGATGGAGTTACTGACAGATCATTCCTTTGTTTCTCTTTCCAGAAAAGCTGTGACTCTATTCTCCTATTCATGCACCTTTGCCATTACCTATTTCTCTCATTTTTCTTTTCATGCTCTAATTATCCATGCAAGTTCTCAGATTATATTTTCCAAAAAGAAATATAAATGCTGTTCAGCAGTAGTAACAACATTCCTCCAGACTGTTTTTGTATTATCCCAAAAGCAGGGTTTAAATTCTTTGGAGGTGGCTGTGGTTGAAATAAAAGTATCCCAGTTGCAATGACAACAGACTGGAAACATTTTCATCTTGAAGTTGGGGGATATTAAAAATGTAAATTACTGAAAAGTAATTTTGGCCTGKGTGTTTGGGAGGGTATCATTCAGGAGAGCCAGACTGTTGAACTGCCTTGAGCATCTCTTCCCAAAGGCAGCAGTGCCCACCTGAATTCAGACCAGAATTCATGGAATATGTTTTAAGGCTCACTGTTCCAATGCAATACAAGTTTTGCCAAAAAAAATAGTTAAAAATTTTATTTTTCTCACTGTAACCTGCTCAAAGAGACTTGCAGCAGTCATCTTCTCCTCTTCTGTTCTTGGTTCTTTCACATCCATCTCTTCCAGCTCATGTTCATGCTTAAAGATGTTGCCTATATATTCCTGGTGGAACAATGAAAAAGAACAAGAAAGATGCAGATTTTTTTTTTGTAAAGGTTTTCTTAAAATAGATATTTACATTGCTATAATTGTACTAACTGTTACAGAAAAGAACACTTTTCCCACATTTCTTTATGCTTTAGAAGATCAGTTGAATATGAAAAAAGGGTTCTAAACACAGGATTCTGCCAGAAAGCTACAGAGTACAGAAAAAACTAATAGACAAGCTTTGCAGAAACAATTTGTTTCCMGTGCCAGTTCTTTTAATTTCTTTAATTTCTTTCTCTTTAATCTTAAAGGAGGTGGGAAAAGGAAGTGTAATACTTCCTTTAGATCTTTATTTTGCTGTAAATTTTGCTGATTTTGACAAAGCAAACRTGTGGCTAAAGGTTTAAGATACCTCTTTCTGGAACAAATCAATTCAATAAATATTGATATGTGAACAATGAGGGTGTTTTCATTGCACATTAATGCAATGTTGTCAATGCTAAATTGCAGTTCTTCCTTCCCAATGTAACAAACAGCATTGATCTTTCTCTAAAAACCTSTAAAACAGCAGCTCTGGTTGATGGAGAGATTTCCCTTGTCATTTTGGTGTGGAACTTTTTTTATAGTGTTGCCTTTGAAAGATTAGTATGCAAATTAAAGAATAATACATTCTTATACATTCATAGACTGTAAACCAGGTAACATTTGATTCTCCTACACTTGCATATCCTAAACATGTCTGGGCTGGACAGCTGTCAATGTTTTTCTATTACAGGCAAGTTTTCTTGAACTATAATGCAGGGGGAGAAAAAAATGAAAAAAAAAAAAAGAAGATCTAACTGGCTACAATATGCTACTACAGAGTAGGGATGGTCCCAGATTTTGTCAGGCCACAGCTATTTCCAGTCAGACTGGAATGTGGAAATGTTYTGTATGGATTTATGAAAACAAATAYACAACCAACATTAGAGTGTGTCTCAGGTACCAAGGTAACTGTAGAATTATAGTGAGCTAGAAATTCTTGTTCAGCTTTATAGATTGAAATTCTTAAGACTTTTGGAAGGAAAACAAACTCTAAGCAAAATAAAAGTGAAGTAATGAGACCAATAGCGCCAGCAAGGAAATGATATGTTAGAGTACTATCTGTGATAYATACTGGACTAGATCCCATGTATTWGCTCAGAAAACTAGTTTTTGTAAGAGGTAAGTGAGACAATTGAGCTTTTTCAGAAAAATACTTATAGAATCTATCTATGTAWGAAATAATTGTTTTCCAAACATAGTAGATCTTTTTTTCCTCAGGTATATATTTACACGTTTATCATGCCAAATTTGTCTATCTGTCTGTTCTCTATTGCTTACTGGAAGAATGAATAAATGTAGAATTGAAGTACCCTGAGGCAAAGCTGCAGCTTTTCTCTCCGTTCATCACTGAGTGGCTCATACTGGAAGAGCTGTCGGATTTGCAGCTTCTTGGGACATTTTCTCACAGGGACTGGCAAGGGCAACGGTGCTGATCCAATGCAGAGACCCTTCCAAACATAYTTTCTGTCTGGGGGAGCTGTGATCTTCTCCTGAACACAGAGGAACAAACAAAAAAGAGCAAGAGGGTACTTATATTAAAAAATGCAGCTATTGGCAGTGTGTGTCAGATGAAAAGCACATGCTCTCCTTACAGAATCACAGACCCAGGCAATAAGGCCAATAGATTCCTGGGAACAATTTATCTATCCAAAAACATCTTCATCTGGCAAGATAAACTCCCCTTAAAATTGTTATATCCCCTGACTGAATGAGCAAAAAGCCCAAGGGGACCATACATTCCCTGCCACAGCCTAGCCCTTGCTTTGTCTGCTTAATAAACTGAAGTTAACATTCACATTRTTTAGAGCTTCATTTCCCCACAGAGACAAACATCTATTGCTTTAACATCAAAAGACAGTTTTGAAACAACTGTACCTCAGGACAAAAAGATTCTTCCTGAGTCCATGACTGAAGATATGGAGGAATGATACTCTCTGGTTCTTTCTTCATTAGCCAGGGGGACTCTTCAGCCACAGGGCGGAGGACAGTAATACTTAAAACACCTGGTTTAAAGATATATTTTGCTAAGAATCAGTTCAAATTAAAAAATTATGCACAAGTGTCTCAGACCTACAGAAAAAAAGCACTGAGTATGAAAAATCTTATTGCCAAGAGATAAAATTCCATGTATCCATGGGTACAGAAAATATCCGATCACTGAGTTAGTTGGACAAGTTCAGATTACTCAGCCCATTTTTAATAATAAACTTCTTTTAAAAATGCTGATTGCTTTGGTTCTTGGTTAACAGTCAGCTGTATAGTGTGGGGAGTATCCCAAACAAGGAAGAGCAAAGCATTGATCCATGTTTACTGAATATTAATCTCAGAAGTAGTACAACATATTCAGAACACACATAATTCTCCACTGTATTTTTTACTGCATAATCAGATCACTGGATGGATTTCATTAGAGATGATTTATTTGTATTGTTTGCATAAATTTTAACATTCTTCAAAATATTTTTTCCAGCTCAATCCAAAAATTACTTAATCTACTATTATCTACCCCATAGGTGACCTTCAAAATGGATATCACCAYTGAGGTACTTTGTCACAGTGATAGAAAATTGTGAGGCCTTGTTGTCAAGGCAAATAGAGCCAGAAGTCTGGAAAATCAGATGTGCCACTGCCACAAATGACTGCTGGTTCTAAGTTTTCTTGACTGGGGTTTTTCACTGGGTGTGTATGCTCTCCATCTTTCTGATTTTTTCACCTTCTGCATCTTTCTGGCTCCCTCCATGTTCCTTCTTTTTTCTTTTTCCCATGGCAAAATTATTTCATTTGGTTTCTACAATGGGGAACCAGTCATTTTTGTGACTACAAGTASATTTAAAAATGTGCAACACCTTATGAGAGTAGTAAGTGGGAAARCTGTTTTATGTCATATACTTATGACATAAATCTATGAGAAATATGTCTTAGTACTTTCTGGCTTGAAGCAAACTTCCCTTATCATCCCATCATATCCAGGGGAACCATACCTTCCTCTCTTTTAAAGATATTTTTTGTTAGCAAATACCTGTTCCACCACAGTGTATTTTATAGAAACACARCATCTCCAACTAAATTTGCAATGACAGTCAAGCATTCCAGGACTTAACTTCTTGCACTGCTGCTACAAGGTGGTTAATACTGGCTATTCCAGTAATTTTTACAGCTTCTTGATATGTATTCTTTCCAACAGTCAGGCTAAGGGTCAATGTCAGGGCATCATTTTCTTCAGGGTTCTATCATTAATATATTTAATGATATTAATGAATCATTAATATCATTGAGACTGCGATATGTTCAATTTTTTAATGATAAACATAGAGAATATATCTATTTGGTTATCACTTTTATTTTGTGACTGAGAGTGGATAAAAACATGCCATTTGTTTGTTCACTTATCCCTTAATAGTGTCCTTCAGTCAATTCTCTGCTTCCCAGAATTTTCCCCCAAACTCCTTTCTTTCACTCCTGGAAGTATGGACCCRTGTTTACATCGGTGAAAATATTTTCTGTCCAAATAAGAATTTTGAAACTTAGCAATTCTTTCTATTAGTAGTCTGTCAGAAAGGTTTTCTACCTGGCTGTTGTACAGGCTCCTGCAAGACTGCAGTGTCAGGATCACTGGARGCCTCAGATAAATATTTGTGTACATCCTTCCTCCTCAGGAGCTCSGTTCCAGAACCATCCTCAGAGATGATGAAAAACCTGCACAGCCAAACACAAACRGGGCTCTACTGAGAAAGCAGAACTCTGACACAACAGCATCAAATATGCAAATACAGAATACTGAACCAAGGGAGCACGAATCTATAAACCCTGTACAAACACTGTGCAGTGAAGAAAAGGAAGTGTTAACCTCCTGTTTACCTGGGGGCATGCTCATCATAAGTGAGAGGTTTCTTAACTTCATCTGCTGCTGAACTTCTGTCCTCCAGGCCATCAGAGCCAACRCTGGGAACACACACATCTGTGCTGCCATCAGCCAGCACCTAGAGCAGAAATCATCATTTTAACTCATTACTTGAGTTAAAAGATACTTTTAAAACAACAACTTACTGGTGAGCTTTAATATGACCTAGCCCAGTGAAAGAAACAGAACAAAACATTTCATACTGAGCAACTTGAAACTCACAGGAAAAAGRAATAAAGAGGAAAACTGAAAAGACAGTGAAAAAACCAAAACATTTCTAGAAAGACATGCTGTGCCATAAATACAAATATCTCATGCTGATATTTAATAAATGCCCAAGGACTGATACAAAAAATACTCACTGGCCAAGCCAAATAACTGTGTACTCAAGACAGACAGTGATGTAAACCTCCCTGTGAGGTATAGATATATCCATGTATATATAGTGACACACACACAAGAGACACAAATGAATATAAATGTATACATAACTATATCTATGTCTATATGCTAGTATGGTAGCATAATCACACAGTACATACAGATAGGTGCATACACAAATAAATATTTATAAAGCCATATATAAATATAAATGTATATATACAAAGATACATGCATWTCTATATAGGTAAACTGGAATCAATATATTAATCCATATATACACATCCATATATGTTGATATATGAAGAGACAAAGGTACAGATTATATATTAATATCCATTTATATATATATACAATCTGATTTTAAGAGATATTGATAAGATAAAATCACATAGAATACAGCAAYTTGTTTTCTTCTATGTATTTTACCATGAAAATATTTCCTTCAGGATCCATCATCTCACAAATAGTGCTGGAAGTGTGTTTCATAATGTATCTCCCTGCTTGTTGCTCTTCTTCCTTGCTGGTGGAATCAAAAACTTCATGGCTATAAACTGCTGAGCAATCTTCATCAATGAAAAGAAAGCCTCCTTTGCTGGGTAAAACCTATGACAGCRAAGAGGGAAGAGATTCAATCCTTAYRGGTGAAAACTTCAATTTAAGGGTACCATGAAAAAGGACAGATACAAATCAAGAGGACAGCTTTCAGACATTTAATACTAAATCATCCACTATAGAGGAATCAAAGGGAGAGATAAAGAAGGAAGATGAGGTCCAAGAGGTAGGCTGATCATAGTCTCTGTAACATTAAACTTAGGAAATTCAAGACTGGGATTTAAATGTACTGTACATTTTTGAGTATCTAAACATTATCAGAGTACAAAAGGGATGGAATAATAGGATTTGTGAAGAYTATAGAGAAGGGAGGTAATCAAAGTGAGAGCTGCTAATGGCAGGGAACTTGGAACACAAAGATAAAATGTCAGTGTCCCAAACTAAAAATAATTCCCACCTGATAGGTTCCCTGTGGCTTTGCTAGAATAGATGTCCCATCTCCAAAGATGGTACAACAGGTACCATCCTCGCAATTTGTWATAACAGTAGCAAACTCAGGATTCTCTACTTTTGTACTTTTGACCTTCCTTGTGGTGGCTTCTGAGGGCTCAACTAAGAATGAATACAGATCAATGAGACAGGAGCATATGAATCATGGAAATGTCTTAGGATTCAATTTACTTTCTCCCTCATAGTGCTGGATCTTTATCTCCTCAGTGCAAGACCTTCATGAACTTCATAGCATCCTTTATCACATATTATTATGTAAAAATACRCAACCTTTGAAGTTCTGGACTGCAAATTCAATATAGGAAAACATGACAGCAAAAAATATCTTAACCCTCCATAGCAGGAAAGTACACTCTAATGTATCAAGTATGGTATTAACCATAGTGATCTGGATACTTGTAACATATAAGTTGGGTCACTGAAATTCTTTTTGCCTGTAATTCTATCTCTAAAATGTGAATAAATTCCTACTCAGCACAAATCTTGGAAAAYAAATCAAACAAATACATTCATCTGGTCACTGCCTTTCCATTGATGAGACAGATCAGCTGAAGCGTTTTTTGACTTTTAAAATCCCACAGGGAGATGGATGTTCCTGAACATTTTCTGCTAGCTCAGTAATGGTCTTTCCTACACTGTGTTTGAACAGTCCAGACACTCACACAGGAAATGTCCCCTTCATTTTAATTAAGGAGGGCAGGATTTGCCTAGCAAACAAAGCAGGCACAGAGTAAAACACCAGCCAGAAGAAACACAGATGACCTTTAGCCCTACTTACTGCAGGCAAATACAAGTTTCACTTTTCTAGGCGTGACATTTTCCACAGCCATATTCAGAAATTCTGTATCTCCAAGATTTGTGAGTCCATGGCTTCAGTGGGGAATATAAAGATGTCTTGGTCCTTATATACCTCTTTAATTAAGACTCAAATCAGCTTGCTTGTTGTTATTAGGGCAGGTGGAGAAAGGGCAGTGAACATACTAGAACTCTGGTCTCAGGATGAAGGAGGACCATATAGGTATGAAAGAAGGAAATTTAATTACCTGCAACAATATAATTTTTGCACTGAATACACTTCTGAAAGAAAACAGACAAACTAAGCCTAGATTGCACTAGTAAGTCTGTTATCTATAAGCCACTTTTAGTATGTATTTTGACAATTTTCTGCTTCACAAGATACATCAAGTGCAAGAAAAGTAAGTGCTCCCCTTTTGATATTACCTGATTCCACACTACCCTCTGGTACAGAAYAGAATTTACATTTTTCATAACGAGTTGTGATCCTGGTACCATCAGCATGCTCCACTATTCTGCTACGACCTGGCTTTTCAAGAATTATCACTTCATCTTCTCGGACAGTCATAATCTGAAAGAATGAAGGAATACTCACTTATATTGGCWCTTGTGACACTGTGATCAGACATTGAAGCTGTGAAGAAGCTACACCACCACACCTTTATCTGCTTCAGAGACAGAGRAATCACATTTTCTTCAAAATTTAAAGCTTTTGCATTTCTAACAGCGCTATAACACAACCCATAGGATGTGTCCAAAGAACAAATCCTACAATTTAAATGATGGTAGCCCCCTCTCTTAGCTGACAGACACTGCTACAGTAACACAAAAATAGTTATACCGCTTCATCAGATGGGTTTGTGGACTGATACATTAAAAGTGGCTTCAGATCCATTCTTGTTGCACCCTCAGTGCCCACTTGAATGCCTAAAGGAGTTGTTGTTATCCAGGTTCCTGCCTTRGGGTTGGTCACATCCTGAACAGTATTTTCAGATTCCTCATCCTTGGCTAATATACTGCTTTTGTCACTGAGTTTTCCTGCATAAACAAAAAAAAATCTGTATCAGATGTGATATTCTCTAAGGCAAAAGATAAAGCCAGTAAAGTGCAGGGTTTGTGAACATTGCTTTTGACAGARTTGCAAGAACTGTTTAACAGGCCAGAAGAAAATTAAAATTCTGCTACTCAAAGGCATGCTCCTTAACTAACCTTATCTAATGTGCTTCCTTACAGAAATAGCAAAAAGCATGCTAATGCCATSAATCCTATAGTGCCATCAATCCTATCAGAAGAAAAGGATGAAGATCTCTTTATGAAAGGGAACTGGAGATATCTTACTAAGAATGTTATGGAGAATTCTTGTCTCCCACATTCAAAATAACTTAGACTAAGTGTATGCAGAAGACAAGAGTGTAGTCCAGAGAGCAGGCTAAAAGACTTACAGCAAATATCTAGCAACAAAACCAACCAAACCAAACCAAACCAAAAACAAACCCGAAACAAAAGAGATGAAACTGTTCTCTATAAATTTGTCAAGAATAAGCAGAGGAGAGGAAAGATGGGGAAGGTGAAAAAGTTATCATAAATAAAGGACAAGGAATAAAGGACAAACACTGGTCACAGATACTGAGAATTCATATTAGAAAATGATTTGTGCAGCAATTTTTATTCACATATTCCTAATAAATTTTAAGTTARTATGACAGGTCATAATTATGTTTTGTATTTAGTAACACTGACAGTGATCTTGGACTACACTTTGAGGTATGAAGTAAACATTTATTTGGTTCTTTTTCAGTCAAACAAAATACACTAAGAATGGCTATTTTACCACCAASCACAAATCCATACAGTTGATAATGACCAATAGTAAATGCCTTGGAATACATCCAGTGAGAAAGAAAAATGCATCCCCTGTTAGAAAAGCATTTCTTAATACAAAGGCTAAAAACTGTGTAAGACAAAACTAAGGATTTAGCACTACTGTAATTGCAAGGATTTCTTTCAAAAGACTTTGTGTTCAATCACTCTGCTATCAATAATGTTCTCACACAACTTTTTACTTATTAGAATCCTACTATGTTAGAAGAAAAAGAAATTGGGAGTAGGAGATAAGTGATATCCTATAAAGGTAACAYAGTGTGCAGCAGCTGAGTACAGATAAAATTGCATTTTCACACTGACAGAATTTTCAGACTAAAGAAATATGCTTTTTATTAAGTATCATCAGCCCTAGTAACTTTATATCTGTCCAAAACACAAAAAAAGTTACCTTTCTTAGTGCTGATCTCAGATAAAATCTCTGATTCTGGTATGTTTTCTGGAATTGGTGGTGGTAAGACAGGACCAGAATCAGGACTCCTACTCACTGTGCCATCAGCAAACAGAATCTACAGAAATCAAGGACATGAGGTTAAAATCGATTCAAACACCACTAGAAARTCTTAAAAGAATGTGTCACAAATACAGTATTCACTGGAATACAGTGGATGATGGAGAGGAAAGAAGTAAAAACTTTTAGAACAAATACAAGAAATATTTATTAGAAGCTATTTTACAGAGAATGAATAGGWCAGACTATTTCAGATGGAAGGGATCTACAACAATCTCCTGGTCCAACTGCCTGACCACTTCAGGGCTGACAAAGTTAAATCTGCTGAGATCCATTACACTCAGCTCTTGGCATGCATGTTCTCAATGTGGCAGATAAACTCTAGAATTATTCCAACCACCCCTAAATCAATTTATAAACACAGTACCATATAAAAAAAAAGAAATGGACAACATATAGAAACAAGTGTTGAAATTGTAACTGTAAGGAATTAAATATTTCTTCTTTTTTGAGTGCTTGTCATAGTAAATACTTTTTTGAAGATTCATAGACATTAAGGTAAAATTAAGAAGCATGCACTCATAATCTCTTTAAACAAAGACTGCTGTAAAATCATGCTAGGCAGTAAGAGCTACATTTTTCTATCAGGAAACAGTATGTTGAGAATATATAGATACACAGTAGCTAGTTTCCCTGCATATTTCTGAAATGGATATACTTATCAGGGATCCTGGCTAAATGGTTTAAAATCTAGTGTAATGAATAAATGCAAAGAACTTATACTAAAAGTGTTGTGGTCTACTTAGACAAGAAAAAGAAATTCTGGAAATAAGGAATTATTTTGACAGTTTCTGAGTCAAATTAGATGATTCCTCTTTTCATCTTTTGCTAAGTACACAGAGTCTTAGAGTTAAAAAGAGTTGCTTGTAGATTGGTTCCAGTATTTGCAAAGATAGTGTATAGCACCTAAACTGTCCCAGATTTCTAGACAAGCTAAATATGTGTAAACAAAGCAGGTACTTAGGAATAGAAAGATTTATTTTCCTGAAAATTTAGGATACATAAAAGTAAATGAGTGAAGAACATTTCATATCTTTTCTGGATCACATGTGACTGTTTAAACTGAAAAAAAGATATGAATGCTTTCATATTGCCAAAAATACCCAAAACAGAACTAATCCACACTTCAGATGCTTAAGTCCAGGAATGTAGTTCTCTGAACCATATTCAGCTATTTCCTAATCACAAAGTTGCCCAAAATCAAAGTTGTCTGAAATTCTCATACTTAAATCTTCCTAAGTTCTGACTCTGAACAAAGCCAAGAGCATTTTAGTCTTGAAATGGCTGCGTAATTCAGTTTTATTTAAGTACTTCATCTACAAACTAGACACTATCTCAGTAGACAAAAATAAGCTTAATCACCTTCTATTAAAATGAACTGTACTGCTTGCAATGAATTCTACTAAACATACCTGGGTAGATCCATCCAGCAGGTACTTTATGACAGTTCCTTGACTAGTGATGACTCTTGACACCTCTTGTTCTGTTTGCCTTGATGAAGGTGCATAAAGAAGAGAGTTCTTTACCTTTTGGGGATAACTCTGTCTCACCAGAATTTCCAGAGCAGGCTTTTCAACATGATCACTTTTGGTGTCTTCGTRGCTTATTTCACCTTCTGTAACCTGCTGTTCCTCCTCTCCACTTTCCATAACCTCTTTCTCCTCTCCTTCATCTGYTTTGGCCTCACTTTCCTCTATCACATCATTCTCTGCTTCAGTGGTAGTGGCTTCACCTTCCAAATCTGAAAATAAACTTTGAATTATTTAATACTGTATAGCACACATTCAAACAGTGCTACACACCCAGCATCATGGTGTTAACAGAAAATACAGCTTTAGGTGAGTAAGACTAACCCACCTTGGCTGAATCCATAATCCACTGAGTAAGGAATTTCAGAGAAAAATTAAAACCAGTTACCTATTCAGAAACTCTGCATCTTCCTGTGAAGGTGGTTGTCTTTCCAAATGAAAACAAGGGAAATTTGAAGATTGATTTATCACGGATGTCAAACTTTTGGAAGACTAACTGCCCATAAAGGTGAAAAAAAAAATCCCACCTGAGTTTCACCAGGTTTGAATTTGTAAAGAAACCCAAGTTATATATTCTGTCTGCTTGAATAAGTAAATTTTTTAGATGAAATGATGGCAGTGTTTTGAGTATGCTAATGGGTATAATCATGGTAATTGTATTGAGAGACTCCATATATGTGTCTATGATCTCTCTATTCACCTCAGCTATTCAGCATTTCAACTTTTGCTTCTTGCCAAACTATGTATGTTGGAAAACACTCTGCATGTTATTTACTTCATACCAGAAAAATCCGAGCACATTTCCTGGGCTATACAGATTTGTTGTACATATGTACTGAATGACATTTCTACATGGCTAGTTTTAAAACTAGATGCCAAAAAATTCATGTTTGTCTGCTCCAAAACCTAATGACATGACTAAAATACCCCAAGATTGCTACAGTTTACAACATGCAAAAGTGAACCTCATGCTGATTTTCAAAAAATTGGAAAACAGAATTATTGCACAAGGGTATGACAGGCACAGAAGGTTTTAAGTATCCATATACCCCATCAGTCTTCTAAAGGAAATTCAATCATAAGGGCAGAAATGCTTATTATGAGTGTTATCTCTGTATGTACTGGATGGTGTAAATCAAAGGATTTCTGTGAAATAATTCTTGTTTGAAACKGATTGCATCTTTTAGCAAAGCAACAATAAAACCTGACTGGAAGACATCTGGTAACTGAGACTCCATCACAGCCTTGGTTAGTTTTGTTAATAATTCTTACCATTTAGTGAGTATAACTTAAATCTACTATGAAGTCCTACTGTTCAGTTTCAAGCCCCTGAAAATTGTAATACCTTTCTATATTGTATTGTCACCAAAATTCTCTTTCCTTGTACTTCCAGGTTGGCATCAGTCACTCCTTTGTTCTCTTCTTTGGTAATTAAACCAAATTCTCTCATGAAATGAGCTCACCATGAGACACATCTTCTGATGATTTAATCACTCTTGTAATTCTTCCCAAAACCTTTTAAATTATTAACATTTTATCTTGGGGACTTAAGTACATATRCTTTCAAAGGAAGTGCAGATACAGKTAATGTAACTKTCTTCCTGCTGTCACTCAAGATTCCTCAATATATAGGCATTTATTTCTTGAATTAGCTGATTTTTCTTTAGTATTCCAATCTACATGCATAATGAAATGTTTATCTAACATGACTCCCAAAGGCTTTTTAGGGCTGCTGCTTCCTTGCCATCAATCTTTCATGTTCAACAGCTTGTGARTCTAGCTTTTATATTTGAATAAAACCACATTATTCATGTTGYAAATACTATTAAATGGACATTATGACAAATTAGCATTCTGACATTAAAAAAATCAGTTACATCTAAACCCATCAATGAAGAAATAGCTCCTTCTGTGGTCTGAATTTCTCTTAAATTCCTTACTTTGCAGTGGCTCAGAAAAACCTTCAAGGCTTTCACCAAGGAAAGTTAATACAAGTCCATTGGGACAGGAGGCATTCAAACTTGGAAAAGCAGGAGCATCTGAAATCTCTTGTATTTCAGGAACTGGTTCTTCCATTTCCTTCTACAGAATAAAACATGAATTAATTGTATTCCATATTTGAAAGTAAAAATGAAAAAAATTAGACTACAGATTTCAGTTTTAACAGTACATTTTTTTTTTTATAAAGGGCTGCCTACCATTCCAATTTAACATTTTCAGAGTTTATTTCCAGAGTTCAGGATTTGGAAGTGGAAACATTAGATTATTTTTTTGATTATGCTATCTTCTTTCATTCACCTTGAAGAGCAACCCCTCCCAACTTTATTTATTTTGCTGAGTCATTATGCTAACTTGTACACAGTATTAAGATGAGAAGCCAATGGATGATGTGAAGCAGAAGGGCAGAAGATAAWWT